TAAAATTTTAAGAAACGAAAATGAATTTATTTTGCTATGGAAAAAATTTTCATTTTCTAGTAATTTGTTTCTACCTGTTCATGTAAATAATTTTTTTTTCGTCATTAGACCTGGTATGTTTTTGCTAGAATAGTTATTAAGAACAAGACTCGACAGAAAAAACTGTTAATTAGGAGCGTTTCTTAACTATATTAGATTAACTGTAACTTTAAAAATGAAGGCTTGCCAATCCCCTATATGGTTGGTAGAAATCTTAGATGTCTTACCTGCTCAGGAAAAAAATCTTTCCACACTGGAAAAATGAACCCATCTACACTGTTGATGGAAATGTATATTAATGTAACCACTCTGGAAATCAGAATGGAGATTCCTTAAGAAACTAAAAATAGAAATTTCATGTGAGCCAGCTATACTTTTTCTGGATAGCTTCCCTAAACAATTAAAGTCATCATACTATAGTGATACATGCATACTCATGTTTAGTGGCACAGTTCATAACTAAATTGTGGAGCAGCATATAAAAGAAAATGTGGTATGAGTACAGAATGAACTAATAATACCCAGCCAAGAAGAAAGTTAAATTTGAGTCATTTGGCCTCTGCCTCTGAGCCACTTGGAGTGTAGATTGGAGAAAGCAAGGAAGAAGGCAAAGCTCCTGCCTGTTAGCCATTTGGAGTATGGATTGGGAAGCCAAGATGGAAGGAAAGACCCAGTCTGTGAGCCATTTGGAGTGTGGATCAGCAGAACCAATATGCAAGCAAAGCCTCTGCCTGTGAGCCATTTGGAATGCAGAGGAGGAAAAGCAAGGAAGGAAGCAAAGCCCCCACCTGTGAGCCATTCAGAGCATGGATGGGGAGAATAAGGAAGGAAGCTAAGACCCTGCCAGTGAGCCATTCAGAGCATGGATGGGGAGAATAAGGAAGGAAGCTAAGACCCTGCCAGTGAGCCATTTGGAGTGTGGTTCATGGAGAGCCAAGATAGAAGGAAAGAAGCCCCTTTCTGTGAGCATTCAAAGGGTGGATCAGGGAGAGCCAAGATGAAAGCAAAGCCCCTGCCTGTGAGCCATTCAGAGCATTGATGGGGAGAAGAAGGAAGGAAGCTAAGCTCCTGTCTATGAGCCATTCAGAGTGCAGATTGGATTCCAAATGGACACAAAGCCCCACAAGGTAGCGGTGCGCAGGCTGGAGTGAGGAGAACAACATGCGCCCTCTAAGCAACCAGCTGATTTGGAGGTACTCCATTGTTTGATTGACTTTGCAAGCCTAAAGCCAAGCAACTATTTTGGAGCACAACAATATATAATGTAGTAACTGCAGTGGATTTCCTCCTGTCTTATCACTGTTTAGATTTATTTTATTGCTCTGTTTTGTTCCCTTTAAAATTAAAGAGAAAAAAAATGAAGGACTTAGTGTGGTCCAAAATGTACAGTAGATATTGTGATGGTGAAAGGGGAAGAAATGTCTAAAAAGGGAAGGTGGTAGCCATTGTTAATTTCCTATTACCTTGTTTTAAAGTCTGGTATCATTTTCATTGTTTTGTTTCATTTGGTTTTATTCTGTTTTGTTTTGTTAGATTCAATTGTGTCTGAAGGTATGGGAAACTATTTCAAAGGTAACAAGATATATTATGGTAGCCACTGTTGACCTATTGTTTTGAAGTCCTGTATCACTTTCATTATTTTGTATTGATTGGTTTTATTCTGTTTGATTTTATTATATCTTATGGTATGGACAGCTGTTTTAAAGATAACATGGGGCATTATGGTAGCCATTGTTGATATTCTATTGTCTTGTTTTGAAGTCTGTATTGCTCTCATTGTTTTGATTGGTTTTATTGTTTCATTGTTTCGTTTGCTTTGTTCTCTTTAAAATAAAATTTTTAAAAAATTGAGTCATTTGTTGGAAAAGAACAGACTTTGAGACCATAATATAAAGTAAAATAAATCAAGACATAGAAAGTGAAGTATCTCATAGTTTCTTTAATGTGGGAAACTCAACATAGAAATGAGCAATAGAAAAGGGAGATAGTAGAAACCTGTTAAGACTCTGCAGATGGAAGGGGATCTGAGGAAGGAGGAAGCGGGGAGAGCAGTGGAGAAGATAAAAATGATCAAGATGTGTTACATATATGTACTAAATCCCCAAAATGACTGTAGTTTTTACTGCATTTTGGAAATATATAGTAATAAAAATCTTTCCCCAATGAGGCTCATAAAGATGGAATATTTGAGGTGGAAACCCTTTTATTTTTGATACCATTCTAAGTTCTTAATATTGGATTTAGTTGTTGATGCATTCTACATCATTTTACTATTAACCACATAAAATTTTATTAGAATTTCAAATAAATCATATTAAAAATGTCCCTTTCATTGCTTCCAAAGAAGTATTTTAAAAATGTGTAGACCTAAGCTGGAGATATACCTGACTTTTCCACATTTGTGTATGTTACAAAAAGTGTGTACAGGCATATATTCATAATAAATTCAAATTAAATTTCATAAGTGCCCCCCAAGTAATAAACTATAGATCTGCAGTTAATCTCAATGACACAGCAATAGAGTTTCCTGTCCACTTACCTTTTTAAGAACAAAAATCAAAACACAAAACTTAGATTTTTTTCCCCTAAATACATTTATTATCTTAAGTCTTTGTTTCTTAAGTGTTAGCTGAATTTTTTTGCTTTCTACCATCTTTTAGACTTAATGAATTCTCCAGATTCTATATTTTCCCAGTTCTAAATAACTGCAAGTTTGGAAGGATAAGTTGACTTTGATAAGAAGTCATGCACATGACATCCTTGCTTGTGATGTTTTATTCTTACGTAGTTCTTTTTGACATAATGTTAATATCTTTGCAAAAATGTCATCATGAATTTTTATGATACCTTTGCCATTGAAAGGCCTGGACATATTTCTATTACAGTAAAGAGTTTTATATTTACTATGAATTGGTGTCCTATGATAAATTTTAGAGAAGAAATATTTGATTATTTTGACTACCTTCTTTAGGAATTATAAACTAGTAGTTTCAGTATAAGAGTTAATTTTGAATGAATTGTGCTTTTTTTTTTTTTTTTTTTTTGGCTTTTAGAGACAGGTCTCAGTGTGCAGTTCAGGGAGGCCTTCAGCTCACTCAGTAGCTCAGGCTGGTCTAAAACTTTCAATGATCTACTTGCCTCGGCCTCTAAGTGCTGGGATTATAGGTATACACTACCATTCCTGGCTGTTGTGCATTTGCTTTTAAAAGCAATATTCTTTTGTCTTTTGTAGTTATTGCTACTTTATTATGCAATTTGTTCTTTAAAATCATTTTGAGAGTGTGTTAAAATTTATTGAATATTTATCATAATGAGTACTGAGAGAAAGGCTTATCTTATAAAATATTCCACGTGCATTTATATAGTGTATATATTTTTTAAAAGTGAGAAAATGTCAGAAGTGGAAGAAGTAAAAATCAACATGTACCCTTTTCTTAAGGTTTTTGTGGGACTTTGAATTATTTTTAACCATAGAACAAATTTTTCATAACATGTAATGGGCCTTGGGGCAGTAAGTTTTGAGTCTCTTTAGTGGCACAATGCAATGAAGGCCATGTTCAAAACTAATTTTCATTTACTACAAATAAATATCTATATTGTCCTACATAGAGTTCTACATACAGTTGTATTTTTGTTCCACATGGAGTTCATACCATTAGCCTATAATATCTCTTTTGTGACTACCTGGCTTTTGTTTATTTTATTGGTTGGCTTTCTGTTACTGTGATGAAATAAGTGAGATGAACAATTTATAAGGAGAAAAAGGTTTTACTCTCATTGTTTCACAGTGTTTATGGTTAGGTGGCTCCATTCCTTTTGGGCTTGTGATAACATAGTAGGTCATGATGGAAGCACATACTAGTAGGTCATGATGGATCACCTCCAAAGACATATCCCAGTGAACTAACTTCCTACTACTGTGTCCCACCTATTAAAGTTTTACTATCTCCAAATATTGCCACACACTCAAGACTGTCAACATTTAGGCCATTTGGTGACATTTAACATTTCAACAACGGTATTTGTCAGTAATCCTGACTTCTTAATTTATAAATTATCTTCTTGTAAGGCATTATGCATATTATAGCTTGAGAACCTTAAGAGATAATGCATAGTTTTATAATTTAATTATATTCTTACCATCTGGATTAGTTTAGTTCCTGTGGACAAATAAAATACAACAATAAAATTTTTCACTCATGATCAGAAAATATATGATTACATCTAGTATCAGGAAGTTTTTGAAGAATTATACTCAATCTTAATTATCTCTGCTATTTGGTGTTAGCATTTGACTTCCTAAAATAATGGTAATTCCCTTTTATCCTGTGTTCATCATTTATAATTATCCTGTAGTTTTGCCATGTGTTTTTAATTGCTAGTGCTTTTCAGTGATGCATTTCTCCAAGGCTTTACCTACTATTGCTGTGTAGGAGCAGGAGCAGCTGTGTGGCAGAGGGATGGTTAAGGAAGTCAGATGAGTGAGAAAAGATTCAGCAAAGCATAAAACAAACCTGAGATGATGCTCATGGAGCATATGAAACTGGACTGTTCATGGCTTATGTAATCAAATGTTTATTCTAGAAAAAATAACTTTTTAAAAAATTATTTTTATAATAAATGTCCCCAGTAGTACTCCTTTTTCTTCATTATTCCTTTGGTAATAAATTTTAATATATAGATTATTTTTGTGATATGTTAAATTATAATATTAACTCTAAATATTGTATGTACCATTATATGATAGAAGAAGTAACAGAATATTGAAGAACATGTATTTTGCAATTCTAGGTGCTCTAGAAGTTACTTTCTTTAAAAATCATGGAACTTTTAGATGTTTATATAGTTTTTAAGTCATCAAAGACAGGAACTTCTGTAAGAAGTATTTTTAATTGCTGTGACTTTTACCTGGAAAAACCCATTATATTCTCTAACTCACTTTCTAACAACTATTTGTTCAGTACTCTGAGGTGATCGTCGTGAGTCAGAAGTCCCTGGCAGAGCATGACTGGTACCATGGTGCGATTCCCAGGATAGAAGCCCAAGAACTATTAAAACAGCAAGGAGACTTCTTGGTGCGAGAGAGACATGGGAAACCTGGTGAATATGTCCTTTCTGTATATTCTGATGGACAAAGGAGACACTTTATCATGCAATATGTTGATGTACGTTTCCAGTTTAGTTTTTATGTATATTTTAATATAGTTAATTGTGGTTTTAATTGTAATGTCATGATGAATGATTTAAGGTTTCAAAATTAACTAGTATCTTAAGCCCAATAAGGAAATATGCATTTTAAATATTTTACATTAAAATAGCTTTTATACTTTATAAAATACCAGTATATTACTTAATATACTTAAATATGAGTTTTTAAAATATATTGAACAGTAAAGGTATTATAGATGAAAAACGAAAATGTAAATATATATATACTTTTTCTTTTTCTAGGGAAATTTAAAGTTATACAATGTCCCTTGAAATGTTTTCAAAATGGTGCCATGAGACATTTTTTTTAATTTTTTATTATTTATTTATTTATTTATTTATTTATTTATTTTTGTCTTTTCCTTTTTTATCGGTACCAGGGACCGAACTCACGACCGCCTGCTTGCAAGGCAGGTGCTTATGCCGCTGAGCTAAATCCCCAGCCTCCGCCATGAGACATTTTTAACAAATATTTTCTTGAATAATGATAATGAAATTCCTTAATATGTGAAACAGCACTTGAATTAGTCTTATGATTTATTAAGGACTTTTTTCCTCTTTAGTGAAAAATTTTATAAATTTATTCATATTGCTTTTTCTAATGCTAAATTATTTTAAAAGTTGATAACCTCTATTTGCTGTGCTTTCTTTATTGAACATTAACAAGATGAAGAATAATTTCAAAAATTTTGCTTTTACTAATTCAGATGTTTTTTATGGGAATTTTTGGCATTCAAAAGAATTGATAATTTTCTTTGTCACTGTTCTATTTCCTTCATTTCACACAGTATGCATTTTCAGGATGGCTGTCTATAGGATTTTAGTTTGTGTCCAGAGATGAGGGTGATACTAATTTTCTTAGGGAAAGCTTGAGCCCAAGGTCACTAGATAAAATGCATAGAGTTTTGGTAACTTAGTATCATACATGTGTATTATTGGTAACAAATATAAATATATGTATATATTTTTTGAGGTGATATTCATATATTGTAAAATTAACTATTTGAAAGTGTGTGGCTAAGTAGTATTCAGTAGTCACATCTGGTAATTATAGCTAAATAAAAATGAATGCCATTTAAATGGATTAAAAAACATTAATTAAAATGTGTTATAATTTTGACACTTTTTAACTATGCACTGTATTCGGCACCTCCACTTGATAATCATATTTGCCAAGTTTCATACATGTAATCTATTGTTTGAGAAACTCTCCTGTTTCTATTGCAGTGTTGGTTATTATTTCCTTGACAAGCTGTTATATATATGTGCCTTTAAATTATGCCTATCGATAACCCACCACTTTGATCTTGTTAGCAGAACAGAAGGAAAGATTGTAAAGTGTAAACTAATTATTATTTATATAAATTTTTTCCCATTTTTAAAGCTCTAAATGTTACTATTTTTGCAGCACATCACAAATTAAGTCTAAAATATTTCCCTTACCATTGGCAGTTTAAAATATAGCTATAGAAATCTAAATTAAAATTCTTGGAGACAGAAAGAAGAGAGTAAACTTGGAAATCATCACTTATTGTTGTTATTGGAATTTGAAAAAAAGAGTGTTAAAAAGAAAATAAGAGTATTTTAAGTTCACAGTTGAGGATTATGACATCTATCAATAAAATTTTACAAATATATCTGTTAAAGATAAAAGCATTTGTGTATCAGTTAATCTCTCACGTTTCCTACTGCTTAATTTTATTCTAGTGACTTTCACAGTATAGTGTTGAGCTCTTCAGTAGAGTTTAAGGTAGATGGCTTAGAGAAGTTTTTAATTCCTGTTCAGTCTTTTTTTCAAATGAATCATCTATGAGCTAAAATTATTCTATTGCTTTCTTCATGTATCTGTCACCTATAAGGGTTCAATGAATGGAGGCATTTATTGGTAGATGTTTATTGAGTGCCTATAATATTTTAAAGAAGGGGTTTATAATCCAGTCTTAGATTATAATCTAACAGCTGTATAAATGAAGTGTCAGGTGTCCTAAGGAAAGAGAACATACAGTAGTAATGGATTTTAAAGGGCAGGAAGAAAGAGTAAAATTATACAACAATGAAAAGAACATTGAACTTGGAGTCTGAAAAATTGTGTTTTGTTTTCAACTCTATAAAGTTTTATATGTTTTGTGGTTTAGGAAGTAGTAAGTATAATAATCTGCTATAGAATTTTTATGGGAATCAAATCAGTGAATATATGCTTTGTAATATGTGAAGTGCTATGCAACTATTAAGCATTTTTATATTTGATGACTTTGAGAAAAGTACAAATGTATTTTATAAGAAGTAAAATGTAATTAGAAGGTATAAGTTCCTTTTTGGTTCCTATGGGATTTGTGAAATTTAAATAGTGATTAAACAGTGTTTTAGAATTTTGTGTTTAGGTTCAGGATGCTGCTTTACTCACAATGGTGTTTTGCCAACATTGCTGTTGTCAGAGTCTAAGTGGTAGTTATTTCAGAGCTTTACTTTTATATGGGTATAAAAAATTTTTTTCATGGTATAAAACTGTTTGCATTCTGTGAACATTGTAATTGACAAAGATGGACACAGATACTTTGAAGTTTTGTATTTTTACCACTCTAATAGAGAATATCTGTTTTAGCTAGTTCAAGCAATAAAAGCTATACTTTTTACTGAACAACAAATATATTACTTTTACAAAGCATAGCTAAGAGTTTCTGAATCTAGTCTATTTCTAGTGTTATTATACCAGCCTGTTCCAATTACTCCCCTGTTTATTGTGTTTGATATAAAACCATGTTCAGAATTTATATCTAAAGCTGCGTATTTTTGTCATAAATATTAATAGATTTTTATAGAGATTGAAAACCTTTCCATCCATATGATAAAAAATATATATTCACATTCTTGCTTTTATGAATGAGAAAAAATTTGTATGATATGACAATATGTAGCCAGAAAAATTGATAGTGTTATTAATAGGATCTATTAATAGGAAGTACAAATTCATATTTCTCTAATTTATTTATCTAACATTTTTCCTGAAGACTCATTTTTAGAAAGTATCATGTTTTGCAACATAAGGATGTGGAACTGAAAAATGTATGCCTTGTCTTCTGAGTAAGCTTAAAACCTAGTTACATATTACTAGAAAACGTGAAAAAAAATAGCAAAGGTACATAATTAAAGTTGATTGAATCAACCAGAAAATCTAGATGAACATATGGTGTTGATATAAAATGACAAAATAATTTGTATTTTAAAATAAAACTTTGGACAAAAAAATCCTCCATGTAATAGAATTGTTAATTCATTCAGGAAGTTAGTTTTGCATATTACGTTGTGTTATACCTTCCTAAGGATATGGAACAGTAAATAGCGTAACACAAATGCAGAAGTGGTAATTAATATATGAAGTTCACTAGCTTTATACATGTGTAAAACAAAAAGTTTACAGCAAAATAAATGGTCGGAGAATATACCATCCTATTTTAATAATTGATAGATCATTCAACTAGAGAATGAACAAACAAACATGGGATTTAAACCGTATACTAGACCAGATGGACTTAATAAGCATTTACAGAATGTTTCATCTAACAGCTATATAACACACATTCTTCTCATCTGCACATGAACATTGTGCAGAGCAGTTCATATAGCAGACCACCAAGTCATAACAAATTCAAAGAGAAACATCAAAATAATTCAAGTACTTTTTCTGATTACAATGGAATGAAACTGGAAATTAATAAAAGAAGGAAATCTTGAAATAGGGTAAGAATATGGGAATTAAAAAATATGTTTCTGAGCAATCAATAGAATATTAAAGAACCCGAGAACAAATTTAACTTCCTTGAGATGAACTAAAATAGAAATAGAACATATTAAAACTTATGGAATACAGAAAAAGCAGTTCTAAGAGCAAAGTTCATAGCAATAAATGTCTCCACCAAATAAGTAGAAAAATCTGAAGTGAGAAAATGACAATGTGTCTCAAAGAACTAGAAAAATAAGAAAAAATTAGTAGAAGAAGAAATGGACAAATTCCTGGACACAAAAAAACTGCCAAAATTGAATCATGAAAGAGTAGAAAACTTGATCAAAAATGAGCAATGAAATTGAATCAGTAATAAATGATTACTTTTGGTAAAACACTATTAATAAAGTATTTTATTAATAAAAATGGTTATTTACTTTTTCTTTTTTCGACCAAAGAAGAGCCCATTGCCTGATGGTTTTACAACAGAATTCTACCAGATAATTAAAGCAGAACTAATATAATTTTTTTCTGAAACTACTAAAAAAATTGAAAAGGACAGAACTCTTCTAAATGCATTCTAGAAAGCTAGTATTATGCTGATCCAATACCAGACAAGAATATGCTCAGAAAGTAGATTATCATAATACCTTGCTTCACAAATGCTAGTTTATGAATAAATTGGCTTGTGAACAATTTGGTTCTTTTGTATTGTTATTTTTTGGGCTACCAAGACCTTGCACTTGTCAGGAAGACACTGTGCCACTGAGCTAAATCCCCAGCCCAACAATTTTGATCTTGAACAGAAGCATTCAGAAAAGCATTACTTCCATTTATCAACTCCATATTCAAGAAAGATCATGGCTGCAGCTATCTTCTCCCACAAACATGAATATGAATCCCCAGAATCGTGAAATGAATCAAGTTCTTGACCAAAGTACCACTTGTATAAGCCACCATCCCTGATGAATATGGATGCAAAATTTTTTTAACAAAATATTAGCAAACTGAATTTAATAGCACATTTAAAAGGTCATTTACTATGATCATTTGGGGCCCTTTCCTGGAATATATGGCTCAACAATACACAAATCAACAAATATGATACACCTAAGACATTAACAAAATAAAGCACCAAACCCATCCAGTCATTTCAATAGATGCATAAAAATCATTTGATAGAGTTAGTCTCACTTTTTGTAAAAAAATGAACAGATTATATTTGAAAGTCATATC